AAAAAACCTGGGCGATTTGATATATTGATCACGACATTAAATGCTTGCTATGGACTATGTATGAGGCACGAATGTTTGTTCACATCAAACGGAATAGCAACATAGGAAGTATAATGCAGAAATTTAACAATAAAAAGTAAACAGAATCACTTACATTTCGTGAAAAAGTGGACATAATTGTTTTACTTTTACTATTTACGGTGATGTAATCATTTCAACTCACCTGTGCCGAACAGTTTCGAGCGTCGACGGCAGCGAAGTCTTTATCCTGGTGCAACTTGTTCACAACAGATTTCACTTCATCCAGATTCCTCGACAAGACGGCCGAATGCAGCTCCCTGCATGGAAGTAATGTTGGGACACAGTTTAGTGCTGCAGTAATTTAGGAATGTATGATGAATGAATGCAGGGCAGTCAACGATTATCAGTCGCAGACAGGCACACATTAAAATACTTGTGCATACTCGCATCATTTCATACACACAAAGAGTAAAACTGCCCCCTAAATACAATGAACCTTGACCTTTAACTCGCCCCTTGGTCTCCTAACTGCTATAATATATATGTAACCAGTATGCACAGGCTTAGTAGCTAAGTAAGTGCAATGTAGAAAACCTCCGGCCAAGTTGTTTTCAGTTTACGCAAGACAGCTGGAGTAATTCGTTCCCCTATATTGCAAAGGATTTTTTTTTTAATTGTAATTTTTAACAGACACCTATACTCGTTACGAAGATCAATGCTGATAAATGCATACTGCATGGAATACTCACGTGTCACCGTACTCATCCTCCTCAACTTCATCCCTCGCATCACCTCCAGCCTGGCTGCGAGTCAGCTTTGTATCTGTAAACACAACATCTTCTTAGACATGAGAGAACACTACAGGGAAAAGCTGCAGCTACACTGCAGGTTGCTATGATAGTGAGGCAGAATCAAGGAACACAGATGCAGCTAGGATTTCCGACCTATAGGTTCTAGAATTCATAGGAAATAGCACATAGAACGTGGGAGCTAGAATTACAGAATTATGATGCTGTTGCTTAAACGTAGAAGCTCGGATACAATAATCATAAAGCAGTTGCTAAAATTTAAGAGGTTATAGTTAATTTGAGGTATTCAAGCACCCACACAATAAACTGGATTGCAATTTTCTGTTGAAGTCTCTACGTCTTGCTACTGGTTTTAATCACAGTGGTATGATTCATAATGTGACATATATTGATGAAAAGTTATTTTTGTAAATCGGGTTTCTCAATTAAATGTTTAATAATTGGTTATCGTGTCGGCTATGCGGTCAGCCACAAAGTACAAGCCACAAGTGTACACCGAAACCTTTCAGGAAGTAGGAAACAGTGCTCTCATTTCTGGAGACACAACCCACTTACCTGCTTCAAATTTCACTCCCTGTGTGGTATCCTCCATAGTTGCTGGTGTCCTAAACTGCAAATAGGACACAGTGGTTGTGAACTTATTGCTTATGACTTTCAGTATTTAAAATTTTTAGTAGATTTTGGCAATTTTGACTATGCATTTCATTCGCCTATGGTCAACGATAACTCAAGAACCGTTTGACCCACATTTCAAATTGCATATATTTACTCCTATAAGAGAGACAGGTTGACCCCGCCACTTTGGAGGCACGCCATCGACCTACTTTTTCCGAGCGCACGTCCACTTTTGGCAAAAATTGAAATGGCATAATCTTCAGGTTCAACGATTTTGCTCATTCTAGTATGTAATGAAAGGACTGGCCCCAAAACGTATTATCACACCGTTTGTGATAATGTTTTAAAATCGCAAATTAAGTAGATTTTGGCAATTTCATATGCATTTCAGTGGCTGCCCTACGTCAACGATAACTCAAGAATCGTTTGACCACATGTTCAACTGCATACCAGTGTTAGCTCCTATGAGAGATTTGAAACGTCCAGTTGGAGCACGCTAGTCGAAGCCTACTGTTCGAGCCAGCGCCCACTTTCGCAGAAATGAAAATGGCCACTAAATTCATTTGATTTCGGTTAATTTATATGACTATGTGAAGGGTGTACAGGCTACCCCAAAACCCGTTGTTAGCTTCTAAAGGGAGAGATGAAACTCCTGTTACCAATCTATTTCATCGAAATGTTTAACAACTCTACAATCATACTAATACGTGTAATTTGTTTTTAGATTCTTTCGTTACAGTAATTTGGACTGGAAATAGTTACGCAGTGGCGAGGTACGCCCCGCCGTCGTCGTTCAACCCCCATTTGCGTTAGGTAGGTTAGAGGTTAGGATTAGGTAGGTAGTTAGGGTTATTTAGGTAGGTTTAGGTCTCAGGGTAGGTCTTGCTCATCTAAAACTCTCAAACGTGAATTTATTTCAAGCCGTATTTCGAATCTGCCGGCGACCGCCGCCACTTGTCTCGTTAAAGTATAAAGCGAACTGGACTGGCGACCCGTACCCTCGCGACGCACATTAAATACGCCTGTCGTACGCTCCGCCCCCACTGCCGAATATTTCATGTTCTTATTGCGCAATATTGAAAACCAAAAAGGCGATCATTAGGCGTAGCGCCATCTCTCGCAACGATTCACGACCTTGCAGATTGAAACATTATTTCGGCATCAAAACTTATGCCCTATCATCATTTATCAAGAGTATATAATGGGAGATAGCATATAACTGGGAGTTCTCCCATATAACTCTCGCTTACTATATCCCCCTCCCCTTCTATCACACCCAAGGTGAGCTACAGTGTCATGACACTTTCCATTTATCTCAGCAAATAACAAATAGCGCAAGATAAGCCAGTTACAACTCCTAACTTCAATAATGAACTTTGGATTTAGGACTCAATTCC